ACTTGTTATGTTTTCTCTTTTGTTTTTCTACCTCGCTGTTATTTGGAAACAGCATGCGAGAGATCAGCACTCAAACTGAAGAAGAAACGAAGGAAAATCCACTCCAGGTATTAAGTAACTTACATTTTGCATTTATGGATTGAACATGTCTTTTTGCGGGGAAGATTTGGATTTAGGAGCACGGCGGCATGTTTTAATGTGTTCAAATATTGAAAATGTAGTTAGCCTTTCTCCCTCATATGCGTTAATAAGTGAGCTAGGTCTATAAATATTAGAATTGTTAATGTAGCATGTTGTCTGTAAGATCCCAGTCAATGTGTAGGCTTAGTCAGTAATCTAACTTGTTTGCCAGGTTACCCTTGAACACTTGAGTTGTGAAATTAGTTCACACAAAACCCGAGGTGCTTTTTATTGTAGCTACTGAGGTCTGAAAAACATGTTTTCACTCATCACATAGCCACAGTAGTTTACTGTGAGTTCAGCACTAATTGTTTTTCCAGTTTTCATTGTGTTCTTATTAATCTTCTCAGTCCCTTTTTAGTTGACTCATAGTTTTTTGTTTTCCAGGAAACTGTTGAGGAAGAGTCGTTTGGTGACTTGAATGACAGAGAAACCAGGGAGCAGGCTGAACCAGTGGATTCTCAGTATCCACAGGTGAAGAGGTCCCTTCAGCAAGGTGAGGCATGTTTATGTAAAGAACGAAAACATTAACAAACACACCCTCTCTCTGTAGATGGGTTGTAAATGGCTGTGATGAGGAAATAAGATATCTGGTTTTCATGCTTCTAATTTTAGTTGTGTTTGCTTTGCAAACACATTGTTTTTATTATTTTGTACAGCGTTAATGATATTGGTTGGTGTTTAGCTATAATATTGATACCACAGCTCTGAATTTGGGACACTCTGATACTGATTTCTGATATGGCCTAATAATGACTCAAATAGCTGGCTCAGGTATCTGTGACAAGAGGGGGAGATGCAAAGGGAAACCGAAACATTTTGCTAGAAGAGCTCACAGCATTTTGTTTCACAAAGTTAGGATGCAGTGTTTAAGTCAAGCCAGATGTTGCCTTACACATAAAATAATGATTCCCAATGACTTCCTCAGTGAGGAATACAGCTTAGTCATTTTACACTGTTATCTGATTGGTATCGGTGTCAGCCAATTATCCAAAGCCCAGGTAACAGTATCAGGACTGAAAAAATTGCATCCCTACTCTGAATGAGCTCAGTTTCTTTGAGAGTTGCTGTAAACAAGTATTTCATGATTAGTCCTTGAAAGCACTTATTTCATTCTATTCAGTCATATTCAAATGCATGAGCTGGGTTTTTTTCTGCATTTTTGTCTTTCACTAAGCACCTTTCAAATTGTGCATACCACATAAATATCCTTTTTTTTTCTGCAGCTGTAAGTCTGACTTCTCATTTTGTCTATTTAACAAAGAATAAACCTGACAGGAACCCAAAAATACTTGAGAAATGACACAGGCATCTATTAAAAGTTACAAATCTTTAATCAAAATCACTCAAAATATTATAGAATAGTTTTGGTTAAAATGTGTGTAACTATTTATACACAAAAATACCGCAAAGAAAATGTAAACAGTATTTATATGTAAAGTGATTTTATTCCAACTTGTCTTTGTGCCTTCTCATTGAGTTTAAAATATGAAAAATTCATAGTTTAAAAAAAACATTATGGTCTACATCTGCACTTTTAGCTGGTTTTCTCTGCATGATATAAAGTTATGTTGCTGTAAATAAAACATGTGTGTTCCCTGATGAATAGACCAGTCTTCATACCACCATCAACTCCTCGTGTTCAGAGGAAAGTCCTGCCTGCCTGAACAATTTGAATAATAAGCAAAAAATAGAGCTTGAATTTCACCAAACAAGCGTTCAAGTCACTGCAGTGTTTGAGTTTGATGGTCAGGAGGTGAGTGTGGGAGCTTGGTGCTACCGTGATTTTCCTTTGTGACTGCTCCCCTCAGTGTTTGAGCGTGCCTACGCTCAGCTGGTGCTGCCTTGGTACGGTGTCCTTGAGCCATGTGAGAACCAGCCTCTGCACCAGGTGCTCAGCAGGGAGTTTGACTTTGTAATTGACCGGATCATTGAGAGAGCAAAAGACTTTGATGTTTGCCAGGCTGTCGTAGGCTCCATTCGGATTTTGACCCAGCACTTGCACAATGCGAAGCAGTCTGACAGGTGAGACTTTACACATACTTTCAGTTTAATGACTCAGAACTCATGGTGCTTCAGTTACTCTTTGCACTCAGTAATGTGTCTGAACTCTATAAATACCTCCATATTTTAAATAACTTATGAATAATTTACCTTTCTTTTACAAGATCATACCTGCACATCCTAATGGCTCTTCTTATGCTGAATGGTGTTTCAACAGTAGCACATCCCATCAGGTTTATGATTTAGATAAAGCGATTATCCGAGATATGTGCTGATAAACATCTATGATCCAGTATAGTGCTCACTAATGGTTGGAGTCACCTCTATTTTGCTTTCTGTTTCAGAGCTCTCTTGTTCACTTCCAGAGCAGAAGAGATTGCAGTTCTCCGAGAGTTTTCTGAAACTCTGGTATGTAACCTTCTTCCCGAATCTCTCTGGGGACAAGACGTCAGCCGCTGTGCCTTAAATGAGATCGTTGCCTTAAAGGGTAGGAAAGCATTAAATTCTCTCTCCACAGGAATACAGTCTTGTGTAAGGACTAAGCCTCCCATGACTTATTTTACAAGTGTGTGAATTGTGTGTAATCCCTTATTGTCAGTGGCATTGTCGAGTTGAGGACATGCATTTCTGGTTACAAAAAAGGAAAGGGCTTTTCACAGTGATTTGCCAATTCCCTTTAGGTTTTTGTCATTTTTAGTAACAGATAAAATGTTTTGTCTCTTGGGATTGTCTCATGGGAATCTTGCTGTGCTTTACATTTTTGCAATTATACATGTAGGTCAGTTACAATAAGTGCTGTAGTTAAAACATTATCTGCATGTCCAGATTCTCTTCATCTTGGCAGCTAGAAACAGATAATTTCTGACATAATTGTTTAATTCATGGATACATAATTGAGTGTTTGCAATAATTTGGAACAGTGGAAAAATTACAGGGCTGTACTTTTGCACCAAAAATAACAATCCTGATTTTTGCATAAAATTGTGATTGCTCACAATTTTGTGATTGATCATTTGCGCTCGCATATCATCAGTCTTTATTGTATGAGGAAAAAGATTACTTGGCTTCACTTTTTAAAGATTTGTACCACTTATTGTCAACCACACATGACATATGAACTCAAAATAAATGTTTTAAATAGGGTTGAAATGAAATTTAAAGTAACGGCTTTGGGAAATTCGTATTCGCTTTCTTATACGGATTAAGCAAACGAGATACAACAAGTCTTAATTATAAGCTAAGCCAACCAGATGCAGCTAACTCGGGGCAACTTATTTTAGAAAATGTTTAGAAAATACTCTTCCTTTTTAAATATGTTTAATTGTGGAAGCTATTATCACTAACTCCAGCTGTGTTAAAATGACTTAAAAAACAACAATCCAATAATACTGTCAAATGTGAATATTGTGCCTCCTGATTTTTTGTGTATTTATGTCAAGACAGAGTTTGTTGGATTAGTGTATTGGCTGTTTTCCTCAGGTTTGGGCCTGTTGGTGACATGGCTGTCGGACCCCGACAACCTGAACCAGCTGGTGGTGAGCCAGCTTGACAGCGTGACCCCCAAAGGCTCTGTGGATGAGCTGTGTGGATCAGACCCAGATCAAGCCTCGCTGGCTTCACACGAGGGCGAAGGCGAGGCCGAGGGCAGTGAAGTGTGAGTGGCTGTCATCTTCTGCACCCCGCTGACTTGACCTAGTCATAGCAAGCCTCAAAGTAGCAACAGCAGGGGCCACCTCCTGTGTTTGGAATTGGTACTGACCTGGGGGTCTGTGTTTTTTTTAATTCTAGGGGCTTGGAGAGAGCAGGGATTTCAAACGGCACTAGGATCGAGGCCAAAAGTAAAGGTGTGTTTTGTGAGTGAGTTGTTGTAATTGAGAGTCTTTAATTGAGCTCTTTCATACTTAAGGAGTAGTACATGTGATTCTTGAAACTTGATTTTCAGCTTTGAGTGTTAAAACATTTCAGATGAGGGTGACAGAGACCTGAGAAAGGCAGATGGAGTGTTTAGAGAATAGAAGACCACTTACATAACGTATTGTACAACAGTTTGATAAATAGCAATGTGTGGTCAGCTACGTGACTTTTTAATTTTCTATCAGCCTGCCTTTTAGCACATAATTAATCCCCTGATTCTTTTGTTTGTTTGTCCAGACAGCTAATTACACAAACAGCAAGCTGAATGCCAATTCATTTCTGTGCTGTCTTCAAGCAACTCCTATCTCTTTATATTGCAAATAATCCAACAGTAATGATGACTGAATAAGAATTGATTATGCCATGATAAGATAAATCTGTGTATTTTTTTGTTATGATCACATCAAAAATTCAGGAAAAAAAATGCTTTTTTAGTCTGTTGGAAAAATTATTAATTGCCAGGCAGCCACATAGATTATAACATTGAACGTTTGATTACTAATCATGCTTACGTGGCTTACATGCCTGAAGAAGTGTGGATTGTGTGGTGAGTAGTTTTTCTCACTGAATTTCCAACTATAATGATGTGCTAAAAGTGTGTTGTTATGTCAGAAATCAAGGTCAAAGTAGAATGTATTGTTATTCTCTCCACATACAGTACTCAGTATATCAGGCAGGGGAATTGTGTTTCTCAGTACTGTGGTGTACACAATAAAAAAACAAAAAATACTGATGAAATAAGTTTTTGTAATTTTCAGGTAACAAGTTAAAAGAAGGATGGTCAAAATTTGTTGACAAGATGAAGCCCAAGAAGACCAAGAAAAATAAGATAATGAAGAAGGAGCCAACAGGGATGAGGACCATGGCGATCCAGGAAAACCAGGACACCAGGGAGGATCCATTCTCAGCCAGCAGGACTCTGACAGGGTGAGCCTGCTGCAGATAACGCAATATATTAAACCGAGGAGTACAATTTGTGAAACATGACAGATTCATTGTTGCTTTTTGGCCAAACACCATCAGGAGGACAGTGATCTGGATAACTACCTGACAAGCGTCCAAGAGGACATGATGGAATTCAAGCTGTCATACGAGATGTGGCGTGCCGGCCGCTGGGCTGTCAGCATCCCTCATGTGAGTTATAATTATCATTGGCAGTGTGGAATGTCCCGGAGGCTTATCTGTCTGCGGAGGCACTGTAAAAACGTGTCCTTCTATGGTATGTTAATGTTTGTGATGGAGTTTGATTAGGAGTTGACTGTGTTGTAGACCGACTGGGAGGATAAAGAGATAATCTTCACTGTTCACCTGGAGGAGAAGGACAGCCCTGAGAACCTACATTGGGACATCAGGAAGACCTACATGGATGTTGTGTACTTTTGCAACAGATGGCAGGTAAAAGGCAGATGGAAAGCCATCTTTTGTGTTTTTATATATAATTTCTACTTTTAACTGATGTAATCACCTCTGATATGTCTGTCTATTAGGTACAATAAACTCGCAATTGTGTTGTGTAATACTGACAGGTGTTTCTATTATTTTGTCCACCCAGTGAGGGTAAGCAGAACAGAAACACCTCTCTGTATAATGCAAAACAGTTCAGCACCACCACAAACTACATCGTCAAATTATATTTATTGCAGGATTGTTTGTATGTTTACTGTCCAGTAATTAGACTATGTTAGTTATGTTAACTAAGTGGTAAGTCTGCATGCTGTGGGTAAAATCAAACCTAGCTGAAGAAGTTTTTATCCATGAGCTCTAAGACATTCATTAAGAAGGGACTTGCTGTTGACTCAACTTAAAACTTCTTGGTACTTGGTACTTAAACATTTTCTGAGTGGAATTGCTACAACATGCTTTATGGGGCTTGCTTGTGTTTGGCTTTGTATTCCCTGCTGTATTGGTGTGCAGACGACTACAGATTGACTTTTTTATCATTGACTTGATGTCCTGGTTGCAAGCCAGCAAACCAAACCATCATAGTACGCGGAGGAGATTATTCCAGTAAATAAACATCTTTGTAATTATTTTGATAGAACATTTTTAGGGAATAATTACACTCACTGTTTTGGCAAGTGTCTACCAGTTTAGAAAGATGCTTGTCAGGGTGAGTGTGAATTGGAGGGAATGAATGATGAGAAGGCAAGGTGTGTCCTCAGATAAAATCAATTTAAAGACTAGGTTTCACATTTCTCACATGTACATTGAAACCGTTTTTGTTCACTTTAATTATTTTTCCTCTCCATACTGGCCAGAAATACATAAAATTGTAGTGCAATTCCAAAGTATTTGCACTAAAAAGACTGAAGGTGCTCAATTGTTCTATTATCTCATACACTGGAATCAGATTAGGGAGCAAACATCTCAGAACATGAATGAATAGGAGGAACAATTACAGTGACAAAAACAAACAGTTTCAATATGTACATATGGATGCGAGTATATTCTTAAAATCGTAAAAATCCTATCCTTTTAATGTTGGAGGTACTTGTTAAAGGTACTCTGACAGCACTCTGAGGAGTTAGGGTGGAGACAGGGTAGCCAGAGTGAAACTATGTGGGACTAGATAACAGTACAATGAGGCAAAAGTTAGCCACAAACTAGAAGAGCGACTACATGTTTGGAAATACCTTTTGCACACTTCCTGCTCGTGTTCTGTACATGGGGGTGGAAATGTGGTTAATGATGACATGCATGATTTATTTTGTCAAGCTGATTCTGCAAGAAACTTTCACTGTGAAATACTGGAACAGTTGAAAATGCAAATTTCTCTTTAATGAATCAAAATCATGCAGTCCAATGTTAGGAATTTCTATTGAACAATTAAATGGATGGTTTTCCACAAATGGACAGATATCATGATATGTACCGACTAAAAGAGGATTTCTTCCTTTGACTTCAGAGAAAAGACTTGTGTTTTCTGTAAACTCAGCTTGTGGCAGAAGGAAGCATTGTTGTGAAAACATACCACAACGTTTGCTTCACAAGTCTGAAATTCAACATTGTGAACCACAAAATGTTACTGCAATCATATGGTATACAGTTTTAAAACTTGCTAGACAGAGGGGTTGGACCAAACATTGTTCATGGAACTGTTCATAAAAGACATTTATTTTGTCCTCTATCAGGACTCGATCCGGCTGCCCACAATCCTGGTGCCGGAGGAGTCAGAGATCACAGATGAGGTCAAAGAAGAAGCGAAGGGATCATTGGAGAACTTCCTGCAGGTGAGAGACGCCAAAAATACTGTGTTGACAGATGAACACTTGAAAATCATAATGACTCAAAGTGTTATTTTCTTTTACAGGAATTAGTTTCTGATGATCTAATCGGCCGCAGTCAGCCAGTTTTTCAGTTCCTCTGCCCACTTGACAAACTACTGAATGAGGAGGAACATTATGGAGGTGTCTGGGGCCTTCTGAGTGGCTTGGCTTACTTCCTGACTCCAGGTCAAGAGGAAGAAGAGGTAAAGTTTAACAGATTTGCTTTTCTTCAGATAGACATCTTAAAGAATGATTCAGGCTTATTACAACCTGGTGCTTACTTTTGTACTTTTGGCATTCATCATTCCCATAGGTAACAGTAACATTGTACTTGCCAAGTTATAAAGTTGTCTGAGGGGCATTTAGACAAACTTATTTGCAAGAGAGAACATAGCAAATAATAAAAGTATAACTCCAGCTCTGTAGTGTAAACATCCTTCACAGTTTACAGAACCTGGTTCAACTTTGACCTACCTTCCATGGCTGTGCACACATGCAGTTCTCCTGTGCAGAAGGGGATTATTACAGACATCACTAACTTTGTTTTTTTGTTTTTTTTTACTCCAAAGAAAGTAGTTTGTGAATAATTTTGCATAAACTGTTGGCTGCTTGGACTGTTGGACTTTGTTTGAGGAATGTTGCAGCGTAGCCCCGATCTAATCAATTACTTTGTGGTAACTTTATAATAACCAATAAAACAGTGACCCAAACTATGGAAATAAGACTGAAGTTGTAAGAAACTGGGACTGAGACTTTTAGACTTTTAACCGATGCGTGTATGAATTTGTTCATTTGCTGGTGTCTGCCACTCTGTACCTTTTAAAGTCAGGTGCTTCAGATTCAGCTGTCACAACCTGATTATTTTGTTTTACTTTGCAGAACTCTAGTCCTCAGACAGAGGCCCCGAAAGAAATCACAATGACATCTTCACATCCTGAATCCACAACTCTGCCTTTAGAAAACCCTGGTGCCTCTACTGAGAAGGGCAACAATGTTACTGGTACTACAATCCCAACTATTGTTATCTTGGAAGATCATTCTGATTCAGTGCCGCCAGAGGAAGCAGAAACACAAAAGGAGCTGGAGCCTGCAAATAAAAACTGCTCCCCCAACAAAACAGAGGACTCTAGTAATGCCTTAACCTCTCCCTTTAAAATGTTCAAGGGACTGATACAATCCAGGTCACTAGAGTCCTTGCTCTCAACAAGAACCACCAGTGATAAAGACTCACCTGTGTCAGACTCCACAGCGCACTGCAGACAAAATGGAGAGTTTCAGGGGAATAGCACGGAAGGTCCATCGTGGTGTCACTTCAGTGCAAAGTCAAATAAAAAGGACAAAATATGTTTCAAGATGTCAGGTGGAGCAAACAAGACTAAAGGGAAGGACCAGGACACTTTGCCGAGAGGGGAGGACTCCCAGTGTCAGAAGAGCCAAGAGCCACAAAAGCCAGGCCAGCTGGAGGCAACAAAAGCCATATTTGATCTGCTGAAAGAAATTTCTGGTTTGTTCAGTGTTTACAGCATTAAGAGCTTTGAGATCATACCAGTGTTTTGTGTGTTGTAGTCCATTTACTAGAAATAATGTGTCCTTCACTACCAGTGTTTTTATACCATACTGCAGATTTTGAGATTGATTGATTAATTAATTAATTAATTATTAATTAATTAATTAATTAATTAATTTTCAACTAAATCTAGACAGCCAGTTGTGTTCGTTCATTTCAGTTGAGGTCTTTACTAGTGCCAAAATAACGGAGCATTAAAAAGTCAGATCAAGTCATTTTTACCTTTTTTAGTCAACATATTTGCCTGCACAATAACATCCTCTATCTTCAGCCCCATATTTTTGGTAAAGAAAAATACATAACTCTGCAGCTACAGCGCTTTTTACCATTTTTAAAATTCTTTTATGCTTTCACATTTTCTCAGCCATTCTCATCTACACCTATAAACTGTACTGAACACTGGATGTTCAAATCAAGTGGCTGGTGAACATAGTTGAGGATCTAATTAGGAGTTGGTTGTTTCTCTAGTGGCATGTATTAATTACTGCAGCCTTAAGGGTAAATGCAAAGTTTATGCCAAAGCTAAAACATGTAAAAACACTGACATAGTCCCGTTTTTTGAAGATAAACCCAATACTTTCTGTCCTAACAGGGAACTCCATCCTCATAAACATATTTGATGCCATTTTGAAACCCTTTATGCCCATCTTGAAAAAGTAAGTTTGGTTCAGACACCCAACCCCTTATTTATACTGTGACTTGGATTTTTGTCTGTGGGTGACCTTGGTTGTGTTGTATTCTTCTCCAGAAAAGTGAACTCTTTCCTAAACAAGATGAACCCATCAGAAGTGCAGATGGCTACATACATCGATGCTGTGCGTGAAAAACAGTGGCCAGAGATTCAACCAGCTGCACCGCCTCCACCTCGTCCTCCTCGCACAGACGAGGAGAAGAACGAGACCAGGGCCAGAGCGCACAACCTGATGAATGCCAAATGTAGGTTGTCGCCTTTCTGCACTAGTAGGAAACGTAAACGTACATAAAATAAATTTTTATGTTCTCTCTGTAGGTTCAAACTATCTTGTCCTAAAGAAGACAGACGTGGAGTCTGTTTTTAATCTGTTCCAGGACCGTGAAAAAAACAAAATGCTCGTACATGTAAGTATCTCTGCATTTACTTTTCTGTCACTGTCCTTCGTTTATTGTATGTAAGTTTCTCATTTTATTTAATATAGCAAAAAAATCCTGTTCTGATTTTGTTGCTCTATCTTCCATAACAGATGCTCCTGTCATTCCTATTGAGGAAATTGTTTCCCAGTGAGCATTCTCTAAATGTGAGCGCTGCTGCCTTACAGAAAGTGACCAACCTCACTAACTGATCTGTGAACCCTTGATTGTGATTTGGGGGGGGGTTGTTTTTTGACATTTTAGAATATCAAATTATTTATTTATCTCAGACACTCCATTATGTCGTTTTTACGGTGAACATTTTGTGAATTTCCTTTTGGCTTTTATTTTAAATAAATAAATTAAATTTTATTTTGCATAGTGTAGAATTACAGAATTTTAATTTATTACCATTGATAACTTGTTTGAAGTCAGAAATACTTTGTGGGAACAGGCTTTAAAAATTGTATTTTTGTTGTGAAATTTAGAGGTAAAAGTCAAGTTTATTTCATGTTTACAGTTGAAATTTCACCCTTCACATTTTAATGTAAAAGAATAAAAATTTTCTAAAACATTTTGTCACTGTGAGCACTTGTCTATAGTGAATGTTTGTATATTGGTTAATTATCTAACAAAGTACTACTTTATCTATTAAAGGAAACTTAGTGTTAATGTCAATAACTTGAATTTATGCCAAATAAAATATTTTATAAAATATATTTATATTAAATATAGCAGTAAATATAAGATAAATAACCAGCTTATTTGATCCGATGCTAAGTTTGAGTAAAATGTTTCAGATGAGTTAAACATGTTAATCCACCTAGATGAAGTGTGAGATGCATTAAAATAATTACTAAATATACTGCACACACACGCACACACACAGAGTACCACTTCTGGAGATTTTAATAACATTGCACGGGCTTCATCAGAAGATGTTGGCTCAGTTGTCATGGAACTGTAGATCTTTGATTTCATCAGCTGATGAAGACCTCATACTTCCAAATATACACAAAAAGGGTTAAAAACAGCAGTTGGGTTTTCACTGGAAGCCATTGTGAAACAAAACAATATTATTCAATACACACTTAATTTCCCATTGCGAGAAGTATGTCTAAAATAATATTGGACAACAACGTCAATGAAAGTGATGTGACAGAGGAAGCACCACACAGTCATTTATACAGTTAAACTGAAATAAAAAGATTACAGAAATACAAACATCTGTAAACTGGATGAGTTTACAGATGCTTCTGTGACTGAGGACAGCTGCGTACCATCATGCACCAGAGTTATAATGATGACAAACCCTGGTTCACAGCTAAACTCAGACAGCTAAGGTTAAAAAGAGAGAAGCATTTATGAGTGACCAGGGGCAGGTTTAAGCAGTCAAAGTACAGGTTTAGCAAGGTGGTTCAAGATGCTAAGCAGCTGTGCTCAGAGAAAAATCAACATCACTTCTCTACAAACAAATCTGTTTCTGTCTGGAAAAGATTTAGACACATAAACTACAAACCAAAATCCCCCCCTCTCCAAGAACCACTCTCGCCTTGCCAACGAGTTGAACCAGTTTTCCTGTCGAAAGACAATGGGACAGACCTGAGACCACCCCCGTCACCCCACCAATTGGCCCAAGTCCGCCATCTCATCCTCCCCATCCTCAGTGGAAAACAGCTCCACCTCATCTGTCTGTCTCTGTCTCTGTCTCTATCTCTATCTCACCATCTTGGAGAGGGATGTCAACAGACTGCTGGGCTAGACTCTGTCTCACCATCCATCCTGAAGCAGGGTGCTGATCAGCTGTCTCTGGTGTTCAGGGACATCTTTAACACCTCATTAGAGACATGCCATGTGTCGGCCTGCTTCAAAGCCTCCACCATCATCCCTGTCCCCCAAAAACCTAGGACCACAGGACTACATGACTACAGACCCGTTGCCCTGACCTTTATGATTATGAAGTCTTTTGCTCCCTGCAGTTCGCATACAGAGCCAGCAGGTCTGTAGACGACACAGTAAACATGGGCCTTCACTACATTCCCCAGGAAACTGTTTGTAGATTTCATCTCTGCTTTCAACACCATCCCAGCTCTGCTGCAGGACAAGTTCTCCCAGCTAAGCGTGGCTGCAGGTGGATCGCAGACTTCCTGTCCGACAGGATGCAATACGTGAAGCTGGGAAAACATGTCTCTGACTCCAGGACCGGTTCCCCTCAAGGCTACGTTCTTTCCCCTCTGCTGTTCTCCCTGTACACCAACAGCTGCAGCCTCAGCCACCAGCCTGTCAAGCTCCTGAAGTTTGCAGATGACACAACCCTCGCTGGTCTCATCTCTGGTGGGGATGACTCCGCCTACAGGTGGCAGATTGACCATCTGGTGTCCTGGTGCAGCCAGAACATTTTTCCCTTGTCAAATAACCTTTGTATATTTTAGCAATTTTTGGCATAGTTGTACATACACAAATTGTACAGCTTCTCATCTAAGAAAACAGGTCTCTTTACTTTTTCTATATTTATATTTCTACATGTATGTGCACTGTTAAACACCAATTTACCAAGACAAATTCCTTGTATGTGAAAATGTACCTGGCAATAAACGTGATTCTGATTCTGAAACAGATACTGTATCAACGTATGTCTGTTTAGAAACATTCATATGCACCTAGATCTATTCATTGTAAATATTATTCCTATTTTATTTCTTATTTTATTTTTGACTTCAATTCCTTGTGCTGCCATGTCAAGCTGAATTTTCCCATCAGGCGATCAATAAAGGTACATCTTAGCTTAATCTAGAAAAATACACAGAGAAGTAAAAGTGAAAAGAGTTAAATACAACAATTAGTCTATTAACAAACCAGCAGCTGGCGGCAGAATAGGCTAGGAATAATAATAATGTTAAAAACAATACATTTAAAAAAAAAGTTTTGATGATACTCTTTTACTTTTAGTGAAATAAGATTTTGATGCATTATTACTACAGTCAGAGTCAAAGATCTGAGTACTTCTTCCACCGCTGCCATTTACATTTGCCAAATCCATCCCCTGATGAAGATGGAGTGATACAACTGAAAACGCAAAAGCAGCTACTGATGGTGTGGTTATATCTCAACTATTTGAAGGCCTACTTACACACAGTGGACATTAAAAAAAAAAGCCATGTGCCCTGCTCAAGTGTCCCTGAGCAAGAGACTCCAGGTCACTGTTAAAATTATTCTCCTAAGCAGCTACTTCAGCAACAGACAGGTCCTTAATCCCAACATCTGTCAGACTCTTCAACACAGCAGTGACATATTGTAGCGGTCACTATAACATCAGCCAACATTTATCACAGTCACTTTGTTGCACTATTATTTCTGATACACTGTAGTATTATCAGTACTGAATCAGAATCAGAATAAGAATCTGCTTTATTGCCAGGTATGTGAAGAATGGCTCTGGATTGTACATTGCTCACAATGTGCTTACTTATACAATAATACAATAATAAAATAATAAAATCAGACACAGGCTAAAGTATAAAGAACACATATATGCACACTATAAACAAAAACAGTACAGACAGATTGAGACAGTAGAGTAACGAGCAGAGTGCAAAAGATGTAAATTATTTTACCATTATTCTTATTATGTACATGTCGGAGGTGGATGACATATACAGGTGCACATACACATACATGCATACATGTAAACATATACACAGTGTGATGGAGCATAGTGCAAAGGATGCAGGAATAAATAAATATTATGTGCAGATATTACTTGATGTAGGTGGATTTGGTATACAGTATATACAATATACAATATGATATAATAAGTGGTAACCAGTAAACAGGTGGCTGATTAGAGGCAGAGTTACTGGGTTATTGCACAGGAATGCTTCCTGACACTGCGAGTCAGAAGTCAGCTGTTCATCAGAGTGATGGCTTGTGTACTGTATATTCATAGCCATATATAGGATATATAGCCTTTATCATGTTAAACTGCACCGCTGTATATATTTTGTCCTGTGCATTTATATTTATTTCTACATCTGCAACTACCTCCTGCTGTGACCGTTGCAATATATCTAAATATCTAAATATAAATTATATAAATATAAATATAAAATATACACAAAAGGTGTATATATTGTACACATGTGGTGTCCGAACAATAATGCTGCGATGATGTGTTGAGAAGAAACCCGCTTGACACTGTTCTTGATCATAAAAGTTTATTAAATCAAGGAGTTCAGCATCAATTACAAGCTCTGCAGCAGCTTGGAGAGTGACCCAGCCCGATGGCCACTCTGTCTCTCTGTACATCAAACATAGCTTATATAGGATATGTTTAGGTATCTGTTAGGTACCATAGAAGGGTTTGAGTCTGTAAAGTAAAAGGTCAAACCCATAGAAGGGTACAGTACTATTTTGAGGTAACAAAACAAGGGGTTAGAGGTCAAATTCTATAGAAGGGTTCAGTCCCTACATAACCACCAATCACTGCTCTCCCCGTAGAAGGTCACTGACCCTCTGTCCTGCTGCTACAGTGCTATTTTGAACTGTTATGAGTCAAATGCATAAGTATTGGATACTACATATTTAGCATAACTATTCTATTTGTATTTTGTTTATTTATTTTCTTCTGTTGTATGTATCAGGAGCAGCTCTAACAGGTGAATTTCTTCTTTCTTAATAAAGTTTATCTTCTCAGCTTTACTCGCAGATGCTGCAGCTGGTCCTCCACACCAGCAGGTGGCAGCTCTGGGATTAACAGCAGCATACAGCCAGCAATGTGCAGTAATCCAATATGTCTGCGCCCTGAAGGAGGCTGCTCTCGGCGTGAAGGTGCAGGACAAGCGACAGGTATGATACCGCTGACGTTTATATAATTTCTATAGAGTTTACCGGGTTCATCTTTGATGTATTATAAGAGTTTTAAGATGTTTATTGGGGATACTCACGGTGTTAATGGAGGTAACGTGCGTTTAGCTTCTTGCTGTTCAATGTGACTGTGGACACAAAGTGTTGCTGCTGTGCTTCACGTTTTGTGTTTGATTAGTATATTAAAGGTAAATGATGCTGTTCACAAGTTGTATCAGTGTCGTAATTGTTTTTCATCACGGGGTTTGATAAATTAAACGGGTTCCTCGAGGAAAGCTCTGCATCCATGGTGTTCAGACTCAAGCTGGTAGCAAAGTCAAAACTCCCCTTGATGCTGAAACATGTGTTCAGTTTGATTGTTGTCATTCGTTTCATATGATTTATTTATTTATTTATTTTAATGTTAACGTTAAAGTCCCTGAAAACGTATTTTCGTATTTTAATAATCTTTTTCCTATGAGCAAAGATAACCTACATAAGCAAACGATGTTCTGGCAAAGTTTAAACAGTTTTGGTGATTTTACTTGAGGTATTTGTGTTTTTGTTTGTAATTTGTTTATTGGTTTGTAGTGTCTGGGGCTCGGTTGGTTAAAAAAAATAAATAAAAATCTCGTGTGAGTCTGGTGACATTTGTTTGCTTGTGTTGCCAGGCCACTGTCAATCAAATCTGATCAAAGCACAACCACAATCTTGAAGAAGCAGATTACCTGAGATTTGAGTAACTCTTAATAAAAATTAACTAAAGAAACTTTCATTGTTGCTTATTTTATCATGAATATTTAAGGCAGTACTTAATATTTGAAACCAAGATTACAGGGCCTTGGCCCAAAAGACATGGGTCATCTGCTATATTAGTTTATAATTTGTAATTTATGCAATCCCATACTTAAACCCTGAAAAGGTCATAAAGACATGAAAATGACACATTTGAACAAGACCAAAACCTGTTCTGTGAGACTGTAGTTATGATCTATATCTATGTCAGTGGTTCTTCAACTTTTGAGTGCCGATGATTTGGGACCAGTTCAATGGAAGAGGGATTTTCCCCTCAGAATGTTTAGTAGTTGGGTTATGACGAGACACTTAACCCACGAGATGAGATTCGAGATTGGGTTCACGAGATCAAGATGAGATGAGATTTTAAAACTTTGTTTTTTTTAATTAATGCTGAATTATATGAAAATTCTGAGCATTAAACACTTTATTTGCTGCCTTATGATGCATTTTTCTGCACCAGTTTATGGTGATTTTTTTAAATTTATATAAAGAAACACAAAATTCAGGTGGCAGGTGACAGTTCAAACTCTATTGCCTAACTATTACAGAATATAAGTCAGTGCAGCTCTCAGTCATTCTGTGCTGCTTTCAGACCTGTTTCTCCTTTAGATCAACTTTTCTCATGTAATATCCCTGCTGAGTCATGATTTAGTCACCTCAATGATAAATTATTAAATTTTAATTTAGTTATAAACTCCTGGACTTTAATACCTCCTGTGTTTCAGCAGCTCATGTTCAAAACTGTCTGCACATCTGTGTTCTCTGACATGTCCAGAAAAAGGGCAAGAGTATTACCAGAGTAAAGTGATCATTTAATGAGAAGTCTACCAGCCCTTTACTCTGCTGTGCATTACGTTATTGATCCGCTAGTAACGTTATCCCCTTCAGACTGTTTGACCAACGCAGTTTGGGACTGCATGCTGTATGTGTAACAGAAAGTAACTGAAACACTTTTGATCAGGCAGAAATCTCACCACAAATCCACACACGTTAACTTCAGCAGCTCAGATAAAGTGCAGCTCACAGTCCCAAATAGAGCAGGCTGGCTTCAGTTTTTAGATGCTTATGTTGCAAAACTCTAGTCAGCTATGTAACCACTTATCACAGCAGTCTGGACTCACAGCACGAGCGGGTTAGGCCGGTGTCAATCAGCTGGGTTGAGTTGATTAGCTCCACGAATCTTATCAGTTATACATTTGTATTTCACTGCTTGAGAAAATTAATTTGTGGATTGACAGCATGTGAAAAATGTAATTTGCTTGAGTCTCGTGAGACAGCTTTTTACCTGACAAGAAATATCGTCACAATTTAATCTTGCGTGGCACGAGATCTCATCACACCCCTATTTAGTAGTATTTTGCAAATAAAGCTGGGTTACAGTCAGAAAAAATAAATTTATCATGTATTCTTATGTTTTTTTCCTAACTGGGTAATCCTCCCATTCATTGCGGGTTGTGACCCTGAGATTAGAAACCACAAGTGTAGGGCTGAACGATTAATCAAAATATCATTGAAATTGCAATATGGAGGTGCAGTATTTGTTATGATAAAAGAAAACATCTTTGTTTGGTACAGATCCTTGCAAAAATTACACCTTAATCATTTAAATATGTTTTCAAATGAAAATTAGAATAATGAATTAAATTCCCTCTAATATCTCAAATCATATTGCAATATCAGACAAAATAATTGCAATTAGATAGTTTTTCAAAATTGTTCAGCCCGATACTGGTCTATATGGTATATGCCTGAATGGTTTAAATATTTGAGAGAACATCCGGGGCAAAAATAATTCTGCTTATAGTGTTTAAAAAAGCTGAGTCATTGCCTAACTGCAACATCTAATTTTAGCTTCATCCAGATTCCTTGTAGATGGAGTGTTTCAAGTTTGACCGCTGTTAATTCCGGCGTCCATCCCCCAGCTCACTGACCACACTGTTATATATTTATCATACTTCCAATATTCTGAATGTTAGTTCCAGCTGCAGCAGGAGCTCAGACCCAGAGGGGCAGATGGCTCCAGAATTCAGAGGGTTTACTGTCACATCCTGGCTGCAGTCACACTTGGCTTGCAGTTTCTGAGCTATAATTCTTTTTATAATGTCAGAGCCTTGTGTATTCACATGTTGCCTACAGCTTTGTGTTTGTGTTTCATTATATCCCGGGGGTACTTTAACCTGAATGCACACTGACTGATGGGGACTTACGTCATCGTGGGGACAAAAAATTGAGGTCCTCACGGGTAAAGACTGCTTTTTGAGAGTTAAGACTTGGTTTTAGGGTTACAGTTGAGCTAAAGTGAGGGGTTGGGTTAAGCTTAGGCATGTAGTTGCGATGGTTGAGATTAGGGAAAGAGGCTGGGGAATGCATTATGTCAATAACATGTCCCCACGGGGATAGTGGAACAAATGTGTGCATGTGTGTAAAAAATCTCGGCTAAATCTGTGACTGTATTGCTTTTCTTCCTCCACTCATATTGTTTGTTTACATGTTGTTACTGTCTCATGATGTTTCGAACAAAAAAAATATCTTTATGTACCTGCAGGCCATATCAATCATGTATCCAGACTTAAAACTTAACGCATCCTGCTGTGAAGGTAAACATTACAGTTGAGCCTCTAATATAACGTTAACCTGTTTTTTTGACACACCAATCAGTGGTTTTCACGTGCTTTGTGTTCAGATACTAGAGAATAAAAACAACGATGTACCCACAACATATAAACATGCTGCCTGCCTGCAAAATATATCAGAAGATGATCTGAACTGAGTGCTGTTTTCCCTTTTTTATATTTCTCAAGCACCATCTCTGCTGCTGATGCCTCGTTGTTGCTGTTTGTTGCTTTTATAGATTTATTCCAAGTACAGGCAGTTTGTAGCACATTCTGTCTTGCCATTCAGACACGGTGGGGAGAGGGAAATGTAATTCAGGGGAGCCAGTAAAGAAAAGGGCCTCCCTGGGATTTGAATACAGACAAGCAGAGATAATGCATGCATGGAGATTCGACTAGGAGTCATCGCTATTCAAGTACAAGGTCTTCGTTTGAACTCAGACTGCAGTGATGGGCATGTATGTGATGCTTCAGTGGTCAACTTTTCTCACGACAGCATTAAAACAGGACAGAGTAGCATTAATTGTCTTATTTTTGCTTGGTGACTGCTTAACAAGAGAAAGACAAGTGAAGTGATATAATACACCGTGTGGCCACAAATATACGGGCATACCAAACATTGATTGTTGCTGATTATCTCATTTCTTTTCATCCCTTGTGGCTGCAGGGATTTGTTCCCATTCATCCACTAGAGCACTAGTGAGGTCTGTTGGGCGATAAAGCCTGGCTCACAGTTGGCGCTTGAGTTCATACTATAAGTGTTGGATGGGGATGAGGTCAGGGCTCTTTGCAAGAAAACCATTCTGTATGGACCTGGCAGGAAAGGGCCATATATATATATATATATATTAGTGTGTGTGTGTGTGTGTGTGTGTGTATATGTTACATGAGGCACAAAGAACGGCAGATAGCAGTCTGTTGATGGTTTTGGGTGTGACGACTGAAATAAGTGATATATAAGTAAGAAAAAGTGATATGAACAAACAGAGAAATGTATCTTTTTAGATAAACAGATGTTGACAAAGTTTGACTTTAGGGACCTAGTTGAAAAAAGGTAATAAATTGCAATTTATCTCAATATATTTAAAATTGCAATAAAATCAAACCGCAACATCGTGATAATATCGTATTGTGGAGCCTCTGGTGATTCCCACCCCTAGTAATGATAGACAAAGCCAAACCAATATGTCTGTTATTTGATCAGAGATAAGTATCTTTGTTTTTTTCTCTGTTTGCACTCATATGGTTACAGTCACGACTTTCCAAAATGAATATCCAAAGATTGAACCAGCTGCTAAGTAACTAGTAATTGCATTGCAGAAATTCCAAAGATAGGATTGACGTTGTTTAGTAACAGATTCATTGTTGCCTGGTTTGTCTACCAGAGAGTTCTGACCCAGTGTATTTCTGCACATTAAAATGTGCTGTTTAGTATATAATTTGGTCACAATTCTTAATAAATAAAACATAATTTTAAAAACAATCCTTTGGGTTTATTTGCTTAAGTTAAAAACACAGCCTCAGGTAATATTAGACAACAATAATGGCAGATAGTTCTCAGTTGAGTGTCTAGCTTGTGAAGATTAAAAAAAA